CATAACTGCCTCACCAATGATCCTCTTTCTCAGGCAGGCCACTTCATGGCACACAGGACTAGCAGCCTCCCTGGCCTCACACCACTGCCTCACCAATGACCCTCTTTCCCAGGCAGGCCACTTCAGGGCACACAGAACTAGCAGCCTCCCTGGCCTCATACCCCTGAGCAAATCTGCAGCCAGTCTGTGGGGTCTCCTTTCCTGAGATAACCAAACTAGGGGTAAAACTATCCCATCTTTAGACATTCTTAAAAAGAGAATTTCCTTATTTTCTTGTTTTCTGAATTACTATTTAAATCTCCTCAAACCAAGTAGACTACCTCAATAAAGCTCTGGGTCGCCTCAGCCAGCCTCATGGTCTCTCTCACTATTCTAAATGTTAAGCTGCCTAAAAAGAGAGAAAATGGCACTGAGATCACAGGGGTTTGGAGACTTCAGAGGCTGGTACAGCATGTGGTTGTGGGACAAAGCAGAGTACAAGGGTAAGTCAGGGCTCAGCAGCTAGTCACTAACCACTCAACATCTGGAGAACCAGGCTCTTCCTCCCAAAATAGTGGCATTTTATAATTCAAACTTTGAGTGCCAAAGTGATTTCAATATGCACAATTCCCTGAACATGTTTTTAATTATTATGGGTAAGAATAACCGCCAAAAGTGTTTAGCGTTGTTTAATACAAATCTAGTTTATATTTACTAATTATATCACTGGGTGTTTTTAATATTGGTTTGGCTCCTGAGCACCAGTGGCCCCATTTACCTCCTGAACTAGTTTAGCATTGGGTAACATGTGAGAAAGGACGCCAAGTATGTGGAAATTGCCATTAGACCTGGAGACCTCAGGGTAAGAGATGCTTTGAACATAGCCTATAAGAGGAGCAGCAGGGTAGGGGTGGGGAGGGGAGAGGTTGGGGCAAAGGCTGGAGCTGTGATCCAAGCTACCTCTATGAAAGAGAAGGGGAGCATGCTACCCTGGGAAAGCATCTGGGTGGTAGCTGACACTGACGACATGACTGTGTAGCTTGAAAGACTGTCAAAGATTCCTTGTGTCTCTGAGCCCTTTGAGTCCCTCTTAGACTCAGGGTATCAGAGGCAATACGGACCCTAAGAAATAATCTGGCTCAGTCTTTGAAGGAGGGATAAGCACTAATGACCAGATCCATAAGGTAGACATTTGGCGAGACTGTGGGAAACAGGCACTCTTCTTACGGGTGGGAATGAACATTGGTGCAATCCTTATGGAGGGGAATTGGCAATATCTTACAAAACTACAGGTGCATTTACCTTCTGATCTAGCAATCCCATTTCCACAATTTTACCCTGAAGACACACCCCCAACAACACAAAAATACACATACACAAAGTTATTCATTGCAGCATTGTTTGTAATTGAAAAATATTGGAAACAACCTATACGCCCATTTAAGAGAAAGACTGAATAAACTATGGAACATTCACACAATGGAGTACTTTGCAGCTGTTTAAAAAGAAGGGGAGGGGGAGTGATCAATGAACTGATGTGGAATGATTTCCAGAATGTATCAGTAAGTAAAAAAAGCAATGTGCAAAAGAGTATCTATAGTATGCTACCCTATGAGTAAGACAGAAGGGGAAATAAGAAACCCAGAAAGGATAAACCAGAGCCTAAGGAGACTGTTTCACTATGAGGAGTGAGTGGGAATGACATGGAGGAATAGAAGGAATAAGGTGGGAGAGATGACACTTTTCCAAGTATGCCTTTGTACAGCTTTGATTTTTGGAACTACATAAATGTTTCGCGTGCACAAAAAAAGAAAATAAAAATCAAGGATGGGCACAAAAGGTCCTCATTTGCTCAAATTGAAAAATTAAGAAATAAAACTAGTAAAGAACTATCTCCACTGACTTATAAAGAAAAGCATAGAAAGTAAGAAAAGTAGTACAGGAATACTGTCGCAGACCTTATTTTCCAAAAATCGTGCAATGATATTTCCCAGCCCAAAAGCTCTTCCAAAAATGTGCTACTCCCCCAGCAGCAAGAGGTGGAATCTAAGCCCCTCTCCTTGAATCTGGGAGGGTTTTTTGACTACTTTGACTAATAGAGCATGATGAAAGCGACATTACTTTTTACTTCTGAGACTAGGTCATAAAAGGCAATACAGTGTCTGCCTGGCTCTTTCTCTAGGGATGCTTGCCCTTGGAACCCAGTCATCACGCTGAAGGAAGCTCAGGCCACATGAAGAAGAACTGAGGCTCCCAGCCCTCAGCCCCAGCTGAGCTCCCAACCAACAACCAGCATCTACTTGTCAGCCATGCAAGTGAGCCATCCTGGAAGGAGATCCTCCAGCCCCCAGTCCAGCCTCCCCAGCTGACACTGTGTGGAGCAGAGAGACGCCTTCACTGCCAAGCCTGGTCAAATTACAAATTTGTGAACAAAATAAATAATTGCTGTTGTTTTAAGCTACTGCTTTTGGGGCTGTTTGTTACACAGTAATAGATAACTAAAACACCTTACTCAAGATCGTCTTAACTATCAGACCACCCCTGAGAGCCAGCACATGGCCCACACAAGTTTCAGGCAGGCCAACTGGATGCAGGACCCAGCACTAAAGATCACACACTTTCTTCAAAAGCACCTCTTTCAAAGACAGTTATCTCTGTTCACACAATTCTGGCTCTCTGGTTTCCTAACCCATGCAGACTAGAATCATTAAATTAAGGGTGGGGGTGGGAGGTGGGGACAAGTGCTCAAGGAAAAGCAACTAGAAGGACACACACCAAGACCAGCCAACTGACAACCAAGAGAAAATACTGCAGAGTCTGCTGGCTGGGAGGGCTCAGACTGGGGGTGAAAGGCCTCCTGACCTCAGAGGCCTGCAGATGACAGGCCTGAATTTCCATTTGTTGTACTGAGTCTTTAAACTACCAAGAAAAGATTAAATCATCCTTGCCTGCTCTGCCTAAGGAGACCAGGAAGTGCAATAGTGGTTTTTAAAGATTTTCATCAGACTTAGAAGAGGGAAAAAAATGTTTTGGTGCTTAAAGGAGTAAGTGCCTAGTACCCGGAAAGGAGGTTTGTACTTGAGACCCCCCCCACTGACAGCAATGCTGTGTTGAGGGGCTGGGCTGTGTGCCATCCAGGCCTCCCAGTCCCTCCTGGGGCTTCCACAGACCCCAGTGATTACATGATACAACAAGTACATGTAACACACACTGAGGAAACAATGCTCTGAAACACATGTGTGTTTTTTAATGTAAGGAACGCTTTTAAAAAGCAAACATTTTGTAAGATAATTTTCTTACATCAGTGCACAGTTCTCCCCCTGATTTTCCTGAGTCTGATGAGAGTCCAGACAGCCAATAACCCAGGGAAAAAGAGAATTTGGGGGAGGGGAATTCACTGGTGTTAAAAGGACATTTCTAGAACAGTTTTATATTACATCACTCTAGCCTAGAGGGAGGTCTAGCTCCTGAGGTAGCTGGTAAGTTAGGTCAGAGGGTAGAGGTACTGAGTCAGAGGCCAGCAAAGACATATCGTCTTTTTGCCCTGATAAAGTGGGCTGGGTGAGGGTTCAGGGGCCTCTTCCACACTGAAGATGATCAATGGAATGAGTCAAGACCAAAGGCTAAAGGCACAAAGAGGAAGGCACCAAATGCTCCCCATTAAGAACAGAAACACGGTCACTGTAAGAGGTCAAACACTTTAGTAACTGAACATGAAAAAACAGGCTTCGTGCTCCACAGGCAGAAGGCTGTGCCTTAGAATATTAGTAGGAGTACAGGCGGGAGCCCTCAAGTCAGGCACAGTCTTAGAATGACCCACTAAAACGGCAGTCGTGGCAGCCGAGAGGCCTCGGAGTCACAGATAGGTTTTGCATATTCCATCACTTAACCACTGTGAAATTAAGCTACTTACTTCTGTAAGCCTCAGTTCCCCCATCTACAAAATGGAGAGAATGCCATCTAGTTTGTAAGACTGTTCAAGATATCACAGTAGTTCTAAAGTTCCTAACAGAGTCTGGCATATGGCAGCTTATATTATTTATCTTATCACAGACGATCTTGAGTCAATGTCCAGCTTGTTATACTTTGGAAACAATGCAGATGGTAAATCTTCAAAAGCATTGGACATAGCTGAGGAGTCTGAGAATTTGAGAATACAATAGTTATTGAGGAATTAGACCTCTCTTACTAATGACTCTGAACTTCCTATTGATCACCTAGTTGCTCAGGTCAAAAAGCTAGGAATCATCTTCGACTCCTCTGGTTCTCTCACACCCCACATCTAATTCATCAGCAAATCCAGCCAGCTCCTCTCCAACAAATACCCCAAACCCAGCCACTTCTCACCACCTGCTGTTACCACCTTAGCCTCAGCCATTTCTCCACTGCCATGATTGCCTCCCACCCACCATTTTCCTCCTACGGCCAATTCTCCAAGGAGAGCCACTTATCTTTTTAAACTTAAATCAGATCTACGTGACTCCCTGCTCAAAACCCTCCCAGGGCTTCCCATCCCCCTTGGAAATGGTCTGATAAAGCCCTGCCTCTCTGTCCCCTGCACACTGTCCACCCATACCGGCCTCATCACGGTGCCTTGAATACTCCAACCACATCCCTGCTTTGGGGCCTTTGCACTTGCTGGTCCCCCCACCTGGAATGCTCCTCCCACACTTATCACCACAGCTCACTTCCTCACTTTGGTCAGGTCTCTACCCGAAGGTCACCTCCTCAAAGAGGCCCTCCCTGACCACTGATCTAAAATGGCAGTTCTGGCCACTTTCCATCCTCCCTTATTTGGCTTTATTTTAATTCTTATCACCACCTGATGTTTGTTTCTTGCTGTCTCTGTGACCAGAAAACAAGCCCCCTGGGGGCAAGGCGTTTATCTGCCTTGTTCATCACTGTGTCCCCAAAGCCTAGAACTGGGCCTGGTACACAAGAGGTGCTCAAAGTGCTTATGCATGAAAAAATGAGTTTAAGTAGAAGAGCAGGAAAGCCATGACCCAAGCAGCCACCTTTACCTTTTTCCCAGCTGTGGGGCTGCTCTCCGCACTCAGTACAGGGCTCCTTTGGGGACTCTGGTTTTCTTGGGGGACACATCTGGCCATGTACACGCTGTAGTCCAGAAGCATCTTCTGCCGCACATTGCCCACCAGCTCCTTCTGCTTTGGCTGGGACATAATCTCCTCCACGCTGCCTTTGCTGCTGCTGCGGCTGTGGGTCAGGTGCCCGGAGGGACTGTTGTGCCTGCTGTGTGAGGGCAAAACCCCTAGTGCAAATAAGTGACAGCTGTTAATACAGATGAAGAAAATGACTGCAAAGTACAGTCTTGCATTGCTTAACAATAGGGATATATTCTGAGAAATGCGTTAGGTGACGTTGTCATTAAGCGAACATCACAGAGTGTACTCACACAAACCTAGATGATATAGCCAATTACACACCTAGGCTATAGGGTACTAATCTTATGGGACCACGGTCGTATATGTGGTCCATCATTGACTGAAATGTTGTTATGTGGCACATGCCTGTAAATGGAACATAGAACAAACTCCACTGGGTTAAGTTGAAAAACAGCTAAAATGCTATCAAATGACTAAAAAATATTTATAAGGCTACTTCCCATCCTGAAAAATACCTTCCCCTCTAATGATAGATAATTTTTCTTTTTTCTTGAGGAAGATTAGCCCTGAGTTAACATCTGTGCCAATCTTCCTCGACTTTTTTGTACGTGGGTCACTGTCACAGCACGGCTGGTCAGTGAAGCAGGTCTGCACCTGGGATCTGAACCCACGAATCCACACCGCTGAGGTGAAGCGTGTGGAACTTTAACCACTTAGCCATGGGGCGAGGCCCTGACAGACAATTTTTTAGAACAGTTTTTATTCCTCTCCAAGACAATTCAGAGTCATGGGAGCCATGAAATACATCTGATAGGTACTTTTTTTTTTTTCCCTGGTGATCTCGTACTGTCAAATAAAGGACCGACACAACCCCAGAGGCAAATGGAACCTGGGCAGAAAGCTAATTGCTCATCCACAGCTCATGGCAATTCCAAACACGCCAACTTTCATTCAACAAATTTTTTTTATCAGGCATTTTCTCTGGGCCAATTCCACATTAAAAAGAAGAATAAGACATAATCCCTGCCCTTGAACTTGGGCACGTAGGCAAATAAATCACAATTTTCTGTAATAAGCATTGTAACTGAAGCATGACTAAAGGGCTTTCAGGGCAGAAAGAAGGGAGTAACTACTTCTGCCCAAGAGAGCCGAGAGGTGCTTTCCCCAGTACTGACTTTCGCAGGTCATGATCTCTGGACTGCCTCTTGAAGAAATAGCTGGCATTTTCCTGGCCCAGGTTGGGGAAGAGCATTCCAGGTAGAAGGAACAGCATATATAAAAAGCAACGACAGGGCACAGCATGTTTGGAGAACAGTGAAAGATTCAGTGAAGTTCCAAGCAGAGTACGTGGGCAAAAGGATAGGAAATGAGCAGAGGTGTATGGTTATCGATGCAAATGCAGGGAGTCAGGATATCAGAGGAATCTGCATTTCTATGATTTATGGCCATCTTAGGCTTGGAGGGCCAGCAGCTTGAGAGCACTAGCTGCTTCTCACTTGCCTTCTTATTATAACTAGGGTTCTCTTTTTGCTTCTTCTCTCAGAGGAGTCGTTATATGTAAAAATAAATATAAATCCTAAGGAACCAGTAAATGCAAAAAAACATACATCTGCAAATGGTTCCAGCATTGGTTGAATGATTCAGTAGAAAGGGTTGCAGTGACCAGCCTAAAAGGTAAATGATTCATGAGAACTCACCTTAGGCGGCAGACAGTTATCAATTCAGGGTGGGCTGCCTTCTGTCCTACCTGTAAATCTCTCTCAATTCTCTCACAGGCCCTTTAAAAATACATAAGCATTTAGTACACATGTCATTACCTGGTTTACTTCCAGAGATACCAGGTGGCTTCTTGATTTCCGACTTCGGCTTAGATGCCAGAATAAATCTTCTAAACCATTCCTCTTTTTCTCGGCCAGTTCTTCCAAAGAGATACAGTATCTGATCTCGCTGGCTAGATCTTGTTCCCTCCTGAGAATGGGGTGGCTTCTTAGGGTCCTCGCCTCCCAGATCTCTCTCAGCTGGTGGCTTATCTTCAGAATTCTCTTTATCACTCTGGGCCTTAGACATGAAATCATCTTGTCGACCAAGCTCGATACAAATGGGGTACTTTTTATTCCATATTCGTTTTCGAGCCAAACTTTTAGGTACAAGATAAATCTACAGAGAAAGGGAAATGATGATTTACATACTAAATTAAGAATTGGCTACACTGTATACTGATATTATGCAGAACACAAATGCAAACTTTATATTCTTTTTGACTAAAATGATGAATGTGAAATAATTACCACCTGTCTATAACATGAGTATAGAAAGGGGAATAAATTTTTAGAAATGACTTGTTATTCTTCAAAATCATTCCAGAAGGTAGATGTTTAAGAATTTTGCAAGAGTTACAAATATCTATAATTTTCAGGTAACAGTAGCACAATAATTGTTTAGCAAATTATCATCAACTAATTTGGATATCAACTGAGTTTAATGACCTGGGGCCAAACGTAAGCTGGAAAAAGAAAAAAAGAATTTACCCAACTAGATCTAGTTGAGAAGCTCAAGTTTATCAACCTCAAGAATAAGTTTATACAAAAACTATTTTAAATACTTCTTTCACTTTGGGGAAACTTAAAGATCACTCACATGAGTTATAAGAAAAACAGAGAAGCTGTAGCTTTTTCGAACAAATAATTTACATTTCTCAAAATCATAAGTATATAGTACTTGTATCAAAATGTAGTTATTTTGCAGATCCATAATTTTCACATTTACAGAGCCTTCATTAGTTATCGCCCTACCACCACCACACAAGGCTTTTTGTTTGCCTGAAAAAATGAACTCTCAAAGTCAGAAGAGTGTGCTACGCCCTTGCTCCTCAAAGTGTGGTTCCTGGACCAGCAGCATGGGTATCACCTGGGAGCTCATAAAAATGAAGACTCTCAGGCCCAGCTCAGAGTTGCTGAATTAGAATCTGCATTTAAAAAGATGCTCAGAAGGTTCATATGTACATTAACGTTCGAGAGCTACTGTTCTAAATTATGCTAATACTTTAAACACACACACACACAAAACTTTAGGGGGAAAAATACAGTACAGCAACCAAGATTCCAAATGCTTTTCATTCATCTAAGATTCTAAAATTAGTCGGGCTCACCTTGCTGTCTGAGAGTTCATAGATTTTCTGGCTGACGTAGGTGACCTCTGGCTTTGCTTCATTGTAGCTTGCCCTTCTGGATATATTTTTATTGGGCTTTGAAAGTCTTAAGGTCCCACCCTCAAGTCGAACAAAGACTGAATGTGTCAAAGTTGCATGGTAAGTTTCTGGATCATAGTTGTAAATCTCATTCATCCATCCCTGATGGAGAAAAACTTCCATTAGTAAAAGTAGAATAAATATACTTCTGATTCAATATGAAAATGATGACCACTGTGGTATTTGGGACACTGAATCCAAACTTGACTATGACTCAAGTGTCAATTAATTGATGACTAGAGGTTGCTGAGACAAGTGCTTAGCTTGAGGGATAATCAGTGCTGAGGAGTAATTTGGTATGCTTTTGATAACTAAAAATCTGGATTTGGGGGGAGAATTCTAATGTCCATTATCCTAAATAAAAGGTTCTTTTTCCTTTTTTAATGCTAACAAGTAAATCAGGACACTCACAAGTTTTGTTCATGTAAATAGAGTAAGTCTCTCAGCCTGACCTCCTTTGGGGGTGAGTAACCCCACCCAGTCTGGCCTTCTTAAATTAGCCAAACACACCCTCTTCTCAGCCCACCTGCAAACAATCTTTGAAATTTCAGAGCATATTAACTCATGTGACCAATCCAGGAATCAGAAAACACCTACCACTCTGTTTCTTTTTTTTATTTATTTAATTATTTTTTTCCCCCAAAGCCCCAGTAGATAGTTGTATGTCATAGATGCACATCCTTCTAGTTGCTGTGCGTGGGACGCGGCCTCAGCATGGCCGGAGAAGCGGTGCGTCAGTGCACGTCCGGGAACCAACCCGGGCCGCCAGCAGCGGAGAGCGCACACTTAATCTCTAAGCCACGGGGCCGGCCCTACCACTCTGTTTCTATCTCATTGAAATCACACAGCAAAGCAGACGATTGAGAATTAGGCATTAAATCATAGATATGATCAACAATACATCAAAATTCAAAGATATACAGTAACTTTAATGAGTAAAATTATGCTCCAGCTACCCTCCCATCAACATAAGTGTTTGTATACGTTGATTTTTTTTTTTTTTTTTTTTTTTTTTAAAGATTTTATTTATTCAGTTTTTTTCCCCCCAAAGCCCCAGTAGATAGTTGTATGTCATAGGTTCAC